AAAAAAAAAAAAAAAAAAAAAAAAAAAAAAAAAAAAAAAAAAAAAAAAAAAAAGCAAAATCATTAAGCTTGTATGTTAGATCAAGTGAGGCTATGAATGTTTTGCTCTTTCACCGGATCATTATTGTACTTATGTGCTAGGGGTCTTGTTACTATGAATGTTTTGCTCTTTCACCAGATCATTATTGTACTTATGTGCTAGGGGTCTTGTTACTTTACTAACATGCTTAACCTTTTTTTACCTAGTGATTTTGTTGTGCTTTTGCAAGAGTATGAAGATTTAGTTTTTGAGGAGATGCCTAGTTGTTTGCCACCACTTAGAGGGATTGAACATAAGATTGACTTCATTCTAGGTATGCCCGTTCCAAACTGACCAACATATAGGACGAACTCATAGGAGGCCAAAGAGATACAAAGGCAAGTGTGTGAACTCCTTGTTAAGGGTGTGTACGTGAAAGTTTGAGTCCTTGTCCAGTATCAATTATTCTTGTGCCTAAGAAAGATGGTTCTTGGCGTGTGTGTTGATTTTAGGGCTATAAACAAGATAATATAAAGTATAGGCATCTAAATCCTAGATTAGATGATATGCATAATGAGTTGCATAGAGATGTAGTGTTTTTACTCAGGCTGATTTAAAATCTAACACATACATATTGGGAATGAAAGAAAAACAACTTTTAAAACATTTTTGGATTAACTAATGCACCGAACACATTCATGAGATTAATAAACCATGTCTTAAGAGAGTACTTAAGGTAAGTTTGTGGTTGTTTATTTTAATGACACCCTTGTTTAATCTAAATCCTTAGATGATAGTGTTTTGCATGTATGCAATGTGTTGTAAATCCTTAGATGATAATGTTATGCATGTCCGCAATGTGTCGACAAGTTCGAGAACAAATGTTTGGATGTAAATATAGATGAGGAGAAAGTAAAGGCTATAAAAGAATGGCCTACACCTAAAAATGTAAGTGAGGTAAGAATTTTTTACGGTCTTTCAAGTTTTTAAGATAGGTTCATTAAGGATTTTAGTACAATTCCTTCACCCTTGAATGAACTTGGTAAGAAAAATGTCACTTTATATTGAAAAATATCCCGAACTAGATTACTTGTCTTACCTAAATAGAATGTGATGCCGGTGAAGTAAAGATAGGTATTGTATTAATACAAAATCAAAGTCATTAAATCTTGTAAACTAAACAATACCGCATTTGAAAAAAGAGAAAGAACGGGGAGGAATAACCAATCAATGAAGGATCACGATAGGATGTCTGTCTAGTTTCAGAGAAACTCAGGACAGGAGGAAATGTTAATCCATAGATAAGAAAGTAAGCAGTGCAAATAATTCAAGAAGTTTTCACAGCAGCATGCGTTCCATGAATGCAGAAGATACAAAAGCATAGAGAGTTCTTGATAGGAAGCTCACAAAAATAACAAGATGTTCCTCTTTCCAACGCCAACGCTTTGATCATGTGTTTGTGGCTCTAGTGTATATTAGCTGGCTAGCATGAGCAGATACGAGCCTAATAGAGCCTCTCGCCATTAAATCCTTTATTGCCCGACGAGCCAACGATCCATTGATCTGATGAACAGTAATGAACAACGAACAGAGAAATTTTTTTAGCAATTTACCATCTCGACAACGATCCATCCAAGTAGAACCAGCTACAGTTCGGTTTGATTACATGAATGACATGCTAACCAAACGAATACGTCTAAAAAACGGGTCATATGGAGGACATTTGGCACTTTATATTGACTAGAGATATCAGATACTTCACATCAAGGGATAGTTACAAAAGATACCCAACTCTTATGGTTTAAGAATAATTTCTTATACACATGGATTAATAACGTACACAATACAACACCTTGCTGTCATGAAATCAAACCAACAGAGATCACTTTGTAATTGTGTTACCCATATGGATATGTAGTTTAAACATGGGACTAGTGCAACATCTCAAATAAATGACACATTTGGAATATGGTATGAGAAAACAGAAGACAGAAATTATGAAAGTGTAATACAATGCAACTATAATTTCAATCATCGCTCGAATGAGTCCGATTATGTTTTTAGAAACGGATAGAAACACGATTACATGCTTACTTAAATGAAGATTTAACAAATAAAGGTTGATCTATAACATTATAGTACAAGAAGTCTTTGACTTGGATGTGATAATCATACATTGGAATTCATAAAAGCAGACCAAAAAAAAAAAAGCTCAATGTATGATCATCTGCCCCCAACTTCTTTTCCATTCCGTTTTTAGTGGATAGTGGGGATTGGTTTTGTAACCGCAGAAGCTAACAACTAGCAGATATTTTCCTCTTTGGGCTTTCCTTTTTAGGCTTCTCCTCAAAGTTTTTAAAACGTGTCTACTAGGGAGAGATTTCCACATCCTTATAAAGAATGTTTCGTTTTCCTCCCCAATCAATGTGGGATCTCAGAGTCCCCCTCCTTCGGGGCCCAGCGTCCTTGCAAGCACATCGCCTAGTGTCCACCCCCTTCGAGGAACAGCTTCCTTGCTGGCACATCACCCAATGTCTGACTTTGATACCATTTGTAACGGACCAAGCCCACCACTAACAGATATTGTCCTCTTTGGGTTTCCCCTCAAGGTTTTTGAAACACGTCTGCTAGGGAGAGGTTTCAACACCCTTATAAAGAATGTTTCGTTCTCCTCCCCAATCGATATGAGATCTCACAGGTCTTATTAAAAAAACTAATTGAAGAGAGAAGTATTGTAGGGGACACAAATTTCAAACTAACATTAAGATGCATGGTCCATATTCAACAATCAAAAGACATGCATTTACAACATGTGAAGATACAAGCTAAATGGGATTGAGCAAGCCATACCCTTAATCTGTCTGAAAGGATGGAAGGAGTAATAAGCTTGTATTTTGGAACTTCTGAAAGAAGCTTGTCATAGCTTCCCTGATCAAACAATACCATGTTGTTCACCTTCTCCTTTTGCTTTCCCTTGCTCCATTTCTGTGCAATAAACATCACAAGAAATAAAATAACAGAACCAAAAGTAAGATTTGCAAAAAAAAAAAAAAAAAAAAAAAAACATCCTAACCAGTAACAGGCCTGAAAGAAAGATGTACCTGAATACTCACTAGCCCTAATGACTATGGTCTCATTTGATAACGGTTTAAAAAATTGTGTTTATTTCCTTACCATTTCTTTACTTTGATTTCACACTTCTTGAAGAAACACTCGAATGTCAAATTCCAAGAAAAGAAAACAAGCTTTTAAAATACGATGATCTAGTTTGATAACCATTTTGATTTTTTATTTTTAGTTTTTGAAAAATGGGCTAATTTTCTTATAATTTATTTCAAAGGTTTTCATCATCATTCATGAGAAACATTTTGAATTCATAACTAAATTCCAAAACAAAAACAAGTTTATAAGAACTACTTCTTCAGCTTTCAAAACTTGACTTAGATTTTGAAAACATCTCTAAAATGTTTATACAATGGTGTTATCAAACAGGCCCTTAAGTTTTTTAGCTTTGCAAATTTTGGCTTAGATTTTGAAAAACATATTTAAAAACAAATTGTTTTATGGGTGGAAGTAGAGTTTATGAGCTTAATTTTCAAAAACCAAAAATTAAATGGTTATCAACGGGCCTAAACATTAAAAACAAAGCAGTCCTCACAAAACAAATTACCTTCTTCTTCTGCTTTCCTCCGCCAGATTTAGCAGGCTTGGAGGACGGAGGAGGAGCCTTATCCTTCTTCGGTGCCTGCCAGATGGATACCAAGTAGGAGAAAATTTACATCACTTGTGTTCATAAATCAGATAAACACTTAGAACTTCCCAACTGTTCCACACTAAGTAAAAACATTACTTGTAATTTTACCATTGGACCTTATGAATAGAAAATTGAAACAGATAAATCGTCTTAAATCATTACACAAACACACAACAATCATATCGCAAACCTAATGTGTCTATTCTGCTTTGTTTTCCAGTAAATAACAATACAATAGAACGACGAACTCCGACAATGACTTACGTCGCAAATTTTCACAAAACCAGACAAATACCCAGTGATCTAGCATAGCTTAAACTACAGAATGACAATGTAGAAAAATTGCAGCACATCGCAAGATGATTCTACACCAGCCTTACTCGATTCCGTAAGAAAAATGAAGTAATACAAGGCAAAAGAAGATAATTTGTAGGATTTTGAAGCAATAACATACCATGTTGAGGGGTCAGCCGCTGAGAATCTGGTTGGAAGACTACGCAGAACGTTGATTACAGAGGCGAAGAACTCTAGCTGGAGAGCTCAAACCAGAGGAAAATACAGGTACTTTAAAAAGTCTAGGGTTTCCAAAGGGTTAATTATTTTTTTTTTTTTAAATAATAATAATAATAATAATAAACAATTTTCACCCATAACTTTTCACTCATTTTTTAGATTTTTACCTTCCTAATTTACACTAAGTTTTTTATTTAAAAGAAATAAAAAATAATAATTTAAAAAAATAAAACCTTTTATTTTATACATTTTTATTTTTCGATATAAACTATTAATTGGTGTTAGATTGATTAGTGTTATTAAAAGTTTGAGTTAAACCATCTTATTATTAATTATTATTGGTTAATAAAATCATTTCATAGTAAACAAAATATAAAATTAATTTATATCTAAATTATAAATAATTTTTTTCAATATAAACTATTAATTGATGTTTGATTCATGTTGTAAATTATTATTTGGATAGTACATGATTATGCTGATGATGCAAGATGAAAGCCATGATTATTTGCATACATGACTCATACGTGTACTATGACATGAACGAAAGGAAGAACGAAATGATTCTTATTATATGTTATGATTTAAAGCTATGGGAATCTCATGCATTTATGTATATTATGTGCATCAAGATACTTTCTAGTTATGTTATGTTAGTACGGAGACATACCTTCGATATTAATATTCGTCATAATATCATGCAATCTTTCCCTTCCGTGGTGTACAACAATGCGTCAACGTGTTTAGCCCAATGAAGCTAGGCTTAGAGGGTATGTATATGAGCTCACCTGGTGGGTCCATGTGTGCGTGCGTGGGCCATGGTGTGGGAAAGTACCACACATCCAACGCTGTCCGAACTATGGAAAAATCCAAGGTCATGCTATGTTGTTTTAAAAGATAAGTCACATCATATATATGTGTGTTTGCATTACCTGATTCCAACAATGGGTTAGTTAATGAGTATTTCTTAAAATACTTTAAAGTCACGTGTTATTCTTACATTTCAAGTAAAGACAAGACAAGACACCCTTGTACATAGCAGATCTATTTTAGTAGAAAAACAAAGTTGTTACAGCTCAACTGATTAAAACATATAACTTCAATCAAGAACGCTCAAAACTCTCACCCGCAAGTTGAACTAAAAACATTTTAACAAAGAATTAATAATTAACTTGAATATAGTTCAACTAGTGAAAGCAATAGGTTCGAATCTCCTACCTCACTCAGGCTCAAAGTTGAACTAAAAAAACAAACAAAATAAAAACTAATTACAAACACAAAAGTAGTATGGGCGTGTTGTTGAGGATTATTGGAGGTGAGTCTCACATTGGCTAATTTAGGGAATGATCATGGGTTTACAAGTGAGGAATACTATCTCCATTAGTACGAGACCTTTTGGGGAAGCCCAAAACAAAGCCATGAGAACTTATGCTCAAAGTGGACAATATCATATCATTGTAGAGAGTCGTGTTCGTCTAACACGTATATAGTAAGACATTCAAAAGGGCAGCCCCAAAGTGTAGGTCCATAAGTAAGCTTTATTTCATACCATTTCTGTAGAATGCTTTATCGATAAATTCTATTTGGGTTCTGACCTTTTCAAATAAATACATCACCTGGTGTATGATACAATATTAAATTATGTATGCCTGTAGAAATCAATGTATGAAAAGGTAGATAAATTGTCAAGTGCCAATATAAGGACCTTGCGTGGCGAGGGGAGGGCCATATGAATATCTCCATTCCCCACAAGCTAAGCATCTATCTGCATCAGTACTGTTGCTGAGAGTACAGAACTTGCAAGCCCAAGTCTTTGTGTTCATTTTGTTCTTACGGTTCCCACAAGCTTCACAAATAAGAGCCAATGGCTGCAATTCAAGTTTACAAAGACAAAACGAGATATAAATCAACGCAAGTCCTGTTAGTTAATCCATATAGCTTCGAACTTTTAAAGTTGTGTTTACTTAGTCCATTACTTTTATGAAATTTCTAATAGATCTCTGAACTTGCTTATACTAATACCAGTTTTATCAACGGTATCAAAAAGGATTAAATCTTTTATTTGAAAACTTAGCCACTCTTGCATCAAAACGTTAGACATGCTACACGAGATTCCCTTGACCATCTATTTATCTCCCCTACTTGCTGCCCCTACGTTTGAGAGCATAAGAATCACAAATACGCATCTCCAGTAATTGTGTAAGATCCCACATTGGTTGGAGAGGAGAACGAAACATTCTTTATAAGGCTATGAAAACCTCTCCCTTGTAGATGTGTTTTAAAACCGTAAAACTAACGGTGATACGTAATGGGCCAAAGCGGAAAATATCTGCTAGTGGTTGACTTGGGTGAATTTTTCATGCTACATTTTCGATAATTTTACACTTCTTTCCCCTACTCCCATGGGGTATCCTCTTGAAAGGAAAAGAGAACTCTATGGCTAAATCATGTTCAGACTTATTTTTGGTTCTTGTTGGAACGCAATGCATGCATACTCTCTGACAAACAACAGGACCAATCGCTTTATTTAATCAACATCTCTTTTTACTAGTTCTTGTAAATTGTCTTCTCCGTTCTGTGATTATAGCTCATCTACCCTTGTTTTTCAATGGAGGTGTTTTTTGTAATTATACCCAGATAAGAACTTCTTCTGTTTCCTAAACAAAAAGGTTGTTGATTTAAACAAGATTCTGAAGGACCTCACGATTTCTTAATAATTTTGAATTTAACAAGTCTATTTCATTAACTCTCATGTATATCAATGCATGTCATCAAATGCCTAAACCTACCTGAAATAAACTGGAACAGCCCTAACAGATATAATCTTCTTTAGGATTTTCCTTTCGAGCTTCCTCTTAAGGTTTTTGAAACGCGTCGACTAGAGAGAGGTTTCAACTCCTTAGAAAGAATGTTTCGTTCTCTTCTTCAACCGATGTGAGATCTTACAGAAACCCACCACATAATCCATACCATTCACTATGTCATGTGAGCATTAAATTATCAAAGTTTATTAGATACAAAATTAAAAGTTCATTGATCAATTAAAAACTTCATACTAACCAAATAGACATAATTTTAGAAGTTCAAGAACCTAGATAAGTAATAACGAGGCTTATTCTAAAATACTCATGGATCGAACTTATAATTTAACCAATAAAGTACGGGGAAAAGGAAGCTAGAGAAACTTACCTGGTTTAGAAGGGTACATGCACTGCACTGCCAATTTTCCAGATCAGACATGGCTTCCTGAGGAGTAGGAAAGGAAGCAGCTGATGGAATTTGGGATGTAAGAGGAGTGAAAACATTTGAAGTTCTGGAGGGTCCAGTGGAGGAACTCATATTTTTGGCTCTATCTGAATTGTTCTCCAAAGACTTGGAACCACACCACAAATCATCTTTTAATCTTCTTTCTGCTGCCATGGCAGCTGCTTGTACAGGACTAAGCACTGCCTTCATTTTGCTGTCACCACCTAGGCGCTTAGGTCCTGATGGAGCACCTCGAGCTCGATTTTCAGCAGCAGTTAAGGTAGTTTGCCGGAGGGATGATAGAGGTAATTGGTGAGAGATCCCACCTAAACGTCTCCCACGTACATCGAATCCCTGCCCGGTGCCCGTGATACCTTTACACATAAGTTCTTCACATTCCTGAAGAAACAAAAAGAATGGAAGGTGATTAGCATATATCAGAGTGCCAAAAGGCAGAGCAAATTGAATAAGCAATCCAAATGACCAAATAATGGCCCATACTTAAGTCAATTCTTAAAGCTTGTCATAGTTTAGCATTGATAAAGTAACAGAGCCTTGTAATATGCATTTATAGCCATGGTTCAAGTTGCAAGGTGAACAATGTAATTAACTGACACACACGCTCCACCTTGAATCATAACAGTTCAAGCCTACCGCTAGTAGATATTGTCTGTTTCGGCCAGTTACGTATCACTGTCAACCTCACGGTTTTAAAACGCATCTACTCGGGAGAAATTTTCATACCCTTATAATGAATGTTTCGTTCTCCTCTCCAACTGATATGGGATCTCACAATCCACCCTTCTTGAAGGCCCAACGTTCTCGTTGGAACACCGCCCAAAACCTGGCTTTGAAACCATTTGTAACAGTCTAATCCCACCGCTAGTAGATATTGTCCGCTTTGGCTCGTTACGTATCGCCGTCAGCCTCATGGTTTTAAAACGCGTCTATTAAAGAGAGGTTTCCACACCCTTATAAAAAATGTTTCGTTTCCCTCTACAACCGATGTAGGATCTCCCACAAACACTAATAGAATGATTAGGATTTGTGGTTCCTCTTGCAAAAATGTAATTTCCTTGTGTTTTTCTTGAATATTTATGCATGCTATTTTTTTTTTTTTTCTCTTTCAGGCATTTCTTACGAGTTAAGACATATACGTATGTCAAATTTAACGGAAGCCAACCACAAGAGAATCAAACTACCAACTGTAAAATGAATTTGGAATGACTCGAAAAGAGACTTTTGAGTGAAAACGCTTCTTCCATAAGCACTTTTAGAAAGAGAAAAACGCTCTTCACCCTCCCAAGAGCCATTTCCAACTCACCCTTAATCCGTTCATATGAGAAAAGTTCTTTCCTGCCATTTTGAACTAAAATGCTAAATGTGGTATAGCTATTCCAATTGAAGAAACTATTTGAAACAATTCATACCATTTGGGCCATTTACCAACCAAGCAAGCAAAAACTTAATAGCTTTCAACAAACTGCAGGCAGAAAAAGAAAAAATCACCTTTCTGAGTTCATCTAAAAGGTTGTAGAAATCAGCATTATGGGGACCATGTACAATATGGCAAAGCTCATGGAGCATTGTGTCAAGAATCTGCTCATAAGGGAAGAAATCCCACTCACTATTAGGCCTCCGAATTCTAAGTTTTATCTCCTGACCTCCTCCTATGTTCACTCCCATGAGTCCCGGATTGTCAGGACTGCAATCCAAATTCAATATTATAAAACACGAAGAACTAAAATCTCAATTAATTGCATATTATAAGAGAATCAAGTGAGTACTAGAACTCAGAAAGAGTTTCCACTTTCCATCTGCGTTTGCGCATGATAGGTTGCACCTGTTTAGCTATTTTTTCAAGCACTTTCCGAGCATCATCTTCCCCAATCTTCTTCAAAGGTTTAATTTCCCAAACCTTGTTGAGATCGTTAAGATCCATAAGCGATAAGAGCTGCAAAGCAATGAAACAGCAAGTTCAAGCAGCTAGGTACACTGTTATCCTGCAATTTTAGGGAAACCAGAGGATAAATCGCACTGAATCTAAACACAAAAAACAAAAAACCCAGCTCTAATTCGATTACGAATTATCAAGTTTAAAATATTCACAGCTCTAATCGGACACAAAAGAATTAAACTCGAAATCAAGAAAGTTCCAGAGATGATGAGAAGCAATTCAATTTGAACGATCATGAATGGGAGGACTAAGTGACTAATCTCGAATCTAAAATTTCAAATGTCCAACAGTTTTGAGAGAGAGTCACCTTGTCGTCGAAGAAAGATGATTGAAATCCACTGCAATTGGGCGTTGAAAAATGCATAGAAAAAGAAGATAATTTAACATTGACGAAGACGAAGAATCACGTTTAAACTAAAAATAGGAAAACTATTAATTTTTTTTAGGTGTTAGAAAAAATTATAATTTCAATTTATAAAATATTATTAAATATATCGCCATATTTTACATTTTTTAATAGAAATCATATTAAAAAAATTAAAATTATCTATTAAAAAGTTGGTTAGAAATGAATATAACCGAAAATTTACTGTTTTAGCCATCAATCTCATAGTTTTAAAACACTGCTTAATAGAGAGAGGTTTCCACACTTTAATGTTTTGTTTCCCTCCAATCAAGGTAGGATCTCACCGTCCACTTCCCTTGGGAGCTAACGTTCTCGCCGATACACTGTTTGGTGTTTGTTTTGATACCATTTAAGCTCAAGTCAATCATTAGCAAATATTGTTCGTTTTGGCCCGTTACACATCACCGTCAACCTCACAGTTTTAAAATACGTCAATTAAGACGAGGTTTTATGATATGAACCAAAAGACATCAATCATACAATATACTTCAATGAAGATGTGAAGAAAAAGTTGTCAAAATTATCAAAAGATGTTTCAACTGCACTTCCCTAGGCTTTTTTAAGGTTGTCAAAGGTTGTCAAAAGGTTGTTGAGGATTATTGGAGGTGAGTCTCACATTGGCTAATTTAAGAAAAGGGAAGTGCGGTTGGCCCTTAATTGAGTTTCGACTCCTTTTTCTTTTGGAGTCATAGTCATTTTTTTGTATGTCTTCGAGGAGGCTCGACTCCTTTTCTTTTGGAGTCCTTTGTTTGACATTTGAGAATTTATCAATATCATACCATTGTGGAGAGTCGTGTTCGTCTAACATGGTATCAGAGCAACGGGCAGAGCCCGCGTCGACTTTTTATCTAATAAATGCATCCCTTTCAGAAGTCGGAGTTTGTTGCACGTATTAGCTCTAGAATTACTACGGTTATCCGAGTAGCAAATACCATCAAACAAACTATAACTGATTTAATGAGTCATTCGCAGTTTCATAGTCTAAATTAGTTCATACTTACACATGCATGACTTAATCTTTGAGACAAGCATACGACTATTGACAGGATCAACAGGTACGAACCCTAAATTAACCGATGTGGGACTTTCATCATCCAACAGAAATGACTTTTCGAGAGAGGGAGGAATAGAGAGAATGAAAATTACAGATTTTAAATGAATTTTTTTGACGTTAACACAAAACAGTCGGGAAAAGCCACTTTTCCTAATGCCTTTAAGTTAACGATGGGAAAAATCGTCGTTCCTAATAGAATGCATAGTGTTGAGAATGAGAACTTCTTTCGATGATAAAAACAAACTATCAAGAAAAGTGACTTCTCGAGTGCTTTTAAGTTAGTTGGATAGCACAAGTTATGCATTGAAGATTTATGAAGGGTGCTATGTGACACAATCGCACTCTTAAAGGCAGCGGACTAGCGATTGTGCGGCACTCACTTTCCAACGACAAGTGAGCTAAGCCAATTCGTACTTGCGTCGCCTACGGCCAAGCGACGTATGATCGAGCCTCTAGCCTCGGTTTTAAAAGAAGGTTTTGGAAAACGAGGGTAGAGAGAGATTTTAGAAAGAGAGATTTTTGAAAGAGACGTTATATAAGCAAGCAAGAGAGAGATAACAACGGCTTAGCATATATAACCTTGGGTAGGGAGAAGTTGACAACTAGTCATATCCCCCTATAGTACATTTTGAGACATTTCATGTCTGGCAGGCCTAGACATGATATTTTTGAGGCGTCATACGCCCTAGAACTATAGAAGTAAAAACACTAGAATGAAAAGACATGACAAGGGTTTGGCTTGCCATAGGCATGCGGCCATGGGCAACACGCCCTGGACGAGCATGACCGTGACATCCTCCCCCACTTAATTGGTTGACGACCCCGTCAACCGACTACTTTCAAACCTGGCGATGTGGGTGGCTGCAGATTTCAGGTCTTCGGCGCGTTCCCAGCTGGTTTCCTCTGTAGGGAGATTCTTCCATTTGACAAGGAATTCACGAATCGTCCGTACAGGTCGTCCTATCTTCCTAACCCTGTCGGCGAGGATCTCCTCTACTTCTTTTGTTTCTTTTTGCCTCAGATCGATGCTCGGTCTTGTGGTTGCATTTCGTTGGTCGTCTTCTGGGTCAGGGTGGTATGGCTTCAAGTTGCTCACATGAATTACTGGGTGGATTTTCATCCATGTGGGGAGTGCAACTCGGTAGGAGGTAGTCCCGATCTTTTTAAGGACTTCAACCGGGCCTTCATACTTGCGAACTAGTCTCTGGTCCTTTCGGTTGCGAAATCTGATCTGTTCTGGTTTCAGCTTGATGAGGACTTGATCTCCTGCTCGGAATTGAAGGGGGCGACGCTTCTTGTCTGCCCACTTTTTCATATGCTTGGAAGCCTTTTCTAAATATGCCCGGGCTATATCTGTTGTCTGCTTCCATTCTCTTGTGAAGTTGTGAGCTTGAGGGTTTTTCCCTGCATAAGGATGATCGATAATGTGGGGTAAGGCCGGTTGTCTTCCACTTACAATTTCAAAGGGACTCTTTCCCGTAGACGAGCTGGTTTGACAATTGAAGCAAAATTGGGCGACATCTAACAGTTGTATCCAGTTCTTCTGGCGAGCGTCGACGAAGTGACGTAAGTATTCTTCGAGCAAGCAATTGAACCGTTCTGTCTGACCATCGGTTTGAGGGTGGTAACTCGAGGAGATGTTTAAGGTTGTTCCCAAGAAGGCGAATAACTCGGTCCAGAATGTCCCAATGAATCTGCCATCCCGATCACTGATGATGCTCGACGGAATACCCCATAACTTTACAATGTGTTTGAAAAATAGTTGAGCTGTGAGTTCGGCCGAGCATAATTTGGGAGTGGGGATGAACGTTGCATATTTTGAGAATCGGTCTACGATCACCAAGATAGCATCATAGTCCCCGACTTTTGGGAGGTGTGTTATGAAGTCCAGAGATACACTTTCCCAGGGTCGTGTCGGCACAGGTAGAGGTTCCAAGAGTCCTGAGACTTTGGCTTTCTCGACTTTGTCCTGTTGACAGATGAGGCACGTCTTGGTGTATTGCATGATGTCGTCTCGCATGTTTGGCCAGAAGTACCCTTTCTTTATTAGAGCGTATGTTCTTTGCCACCCGGGGTGTCCGGCCCATAAGGTATCATGACATTCCTGAATGAGCTTCTTCCTCAGTTCTCCCGTTCTTGGGACATACAACCTGTTTCCTTTTGTCATCAGAAGGTCTCCCTCAACCCAAAACTGTCGTGTTTTCCCAGCTTTAGCTAGTTCGACGACGGCTTTGGCCGATGGGTCTTTATGTAAATGTTCCTTGATGATGTCGCGCATCGATCCATCGATCTTACTTGAGTGAATATGGGCTAACATGCACAGGGCCGCATGTTCGCCCTTCCGACTCAGTGCATCGGCTGCTTGATTACTCTTCCCTGCTTTGTGTTCGAACTTGAAGTCGAATTCAGCCAACGACTCCTGCCACCGGGCTTGTTTTGCCGTCAATTTTGGTTGATCAAAGAAGTGGCAAATGGCGCTGTTATCCGTCTTCACTACGAACTGTGATCCCAAGAGATATTGTCTCCAGACTCGAAGGCAATGGACTACTGCCAGCATTTCTTTTTCGGAGACAGTGTATCTACGTTCGGCGTCATTGAGTTTTCGACTTTCGAAAGCGATGGGGTGGCCTTCTTGAATAAGGACCCCACCTAGGGCAAAGTCGGAAGCGTCTGTTTCTATTTCAAATGGCTTTGTAACATCTACCAATCCGAGGACAGGACCCCTCGTCATGGTTGTTTTCAGATCTTCAAAGGCCATTTGACAATCATCTGACCACGACCAAGTGTGGTCTTTCTTCAACAGCTCTGTCAATGGGGCGGCTCGTCGTGAAAACCCTTCGACGAACCGCCTATAGTAGTTGGCTAATCCTAAGAAGGACCGCAAATCGGATACGGAAGTAGGAACCTTCCATTCTTGGATAGCTTTTATCTTATCGCTATCCATACTAATCTGTCCACATCTGACGACATGTCCAAGGAAGTTGATGCATGTTTGTGCGAATGCACATTTCTCTTTCTTGACATACAGTTGGTTTTGTCGCAGCTTGTCGAACACCAGCTTCAAGTGCACTTTGTGTTCCTCTAGGGTTGTGCTGTAAACCACTATGTCGTCGAGGTATACTATGACAAACTGATCCAAGTATTCGTAGAAAACTTGGTTCATCAACGTGCAGAAAGTAGCTGGAGCGTTTGTCAAGCCAAAGGGCATTACTAGGAATTCGAAGGCCCCATATCTTGTTACGCACGTCGTCTTGGGCTCGTCCCCTTCGGCAATACGTACTTGGTAATACCCTGATCGTAAGTCCAACTTCGTGAAGTACTTGGCCCCGTGAAGTTGGTCGAACAAGTCGGATATTATCGGCAGTGGATATTTGTTGCGTACCGTCACCTTGTTTAAGGCTCTATAGTCTATACACAGACGCAACGTCCCATCCTTCTTCTTCTGGAACAGTACGGGGGCTCCATAGGGTGCCTTTGCCGGGCGGATGAATCCCGCCTTCAGCAACTCATCCAGTTGTTTCCTTAATTCGGCTAGCTCGGGCGGAGCCATCCGGTATGCGTTCTTCGCTGGCGGTTTAACTCCGGGGATGAGTTCGATTTCGTGATCAATGCCTCGACGAGGTGGTAATGTTTGGGGTAAGCTCTCTGGCATTATGTCAGCATAGTCGTTTAGTACCTCATTGATTTCATTTGGGACAGTTTCTTCGGTGGTTGTTACTTCCATCAATGGTATGGCCATAAATGTAGGTTCCTCTCGTGCGAGTCCCTTTTTCAATTGTATGGCCGAGATCATTCGAAGATTACCTGGTTGCTTGATGCTTGCAGGTATTACTGTGGGGTTGCGGTCAGTGATCACTAAGCACTTTGCCAGCGGCATTGGGATAACTTTGTGTTCTAGGAGGAACTCCATCCCAAGTACCACGTCAAAGTCGTCCATGCGAACTACGACAAGATCTAGCTCTCCTGTCCAATCCCCTATTTTAAAGGGGACTCTTTTGGAAACTCCCACAATAGGCAAGGCCTCAGAGTTGACAACTTTCATTTTTCCCGGGTCCCTTCCTATAGTGAGTCCTAATCTTCGGGCTTCTTGATCAGCGATAAAGTTGTGGGTCGCTCCTGAATCTATCAGAGTGCTCCTATTCGGTTGGAAATTTATTGTCGCATTTACGAACATGAGTCCTTTCTCTACTATCTCCTTCGGTTCGACCTTCCGTTGAAGAGCTGACAAGAATTTAAGTGCGCCCATTCGGGGATTGTCTTGATCTTCCTTCTTGTCAAGCATAGTCTCAACCTTTGCGTCATTGCTCTCTTGAATGGACACTTGGAGCGCAGTGAGAGAGGCCCGATGAGGACAGTAAGATACCTTGTGGGGACCTTTACAGAGCATGCATTGTAACGGCGTCGTCGGGTGGTTCCTTTGATGGTAAGGTCCTCGAGATGTCCCTGCTTGGTTATTCTGTGGAGGTCTATCCGTCCATCCGCTTGGTCTGTCGTTACCTCCGTTCGGCCTGTTGGGGCTTCCATTTCGATGACTTGGTGGTTTGTATGGCTTGCCACCAGTGTTTGGGGCTGGTGTTATTCTCCTTTGGGATCCCGCTTCGTTCCCATAGTCTAGGAGTCTCTCGGCACAGGCCATTGCGGCGGCTAGGGTTTGGACCTTGTTCTCGTGTAGCTTTGTCTTGGCCCACGGTTGCAACCCATTTATAAAGAAGAACACCTTGTCCTTCTCTGATGTGCCCCTGATATCGAGCATCAGGGTTGAGAACTGTCTGACATAATCTCGTATGCTTCTAGTGTGTTTCAGGGCTACTAGCTTTTCCATTGCTAAATGTCCTGCGTTTTCGGGGAGGAACTGGTCCCTCAACTCTTTCTTAAGGTCCTCCCACGAGTCAATGGTGCACAATCCATCCTCGATGTCTTGCACCTTCGTACGCCACCACAGTTTGGCGTCGTCTGTGAGATACATCGAAGCTACGGTCACCTTCTTGTCGTCAGTACAAGCCGTTGTGGCTTTGAAGTACTGTTCGACATCAAAGATGAAGTTTTCTAACTCTTTGGCGTCCCGATTCCCTTTAAAGGCTCTAGGTTCTGGGAATCTTAGTTTGTTGGACCCTGTATTTGTTTGTCCAGCCGTGACGTTCTCCACGGCTTTCATGGTCACTTCAATTCGAGTGCCCATGGAGGCCATCCTTTCTTGGATGTCATCGATTGTTGTTCTGAACTCATCAGCTAGTCCATTGAACAAGCTCATCATTGTATTTTGTAGCACGTCGAACTCTTCGCCACGTCCCTCCTTGGGCGCGACAGAGCTATCCGGACTACCAGATGGTTTTGGGCTGCTCGTAGGAGCAACTCTTTCTTCGAGCGAGGTCACTCGAAACATCAATTCTGCGATTGGCAACCCATCCAGGCGGTTGCCCATTGCGTCGATTCCTACGACTTTCTCACTCAATTCGGTCACCCGTGCTTCCAGGAAGCGGAGGGTGTCAGGGACTTCTTTGAGGAACAACATTTTCTCCTCTATTAGCGTAAGCCGGTCGGCTTGTGCTTTGGGTGTCGACTTTGTCGTCGACATGGTTTCGGTCTTTACTGATGTCACGGAGCTAACTTGGCTCTGATACCACTTGACACAATCGCACTCTTAAAGGCAGCGGACTAGCGATTGTGCGGCACTCACTTTCCAACGACAAGTGAGCTAAGCCAATTCGTACTTGCGTCGCCTACGGCCAAGCGACGTATGATCGAGCCTCTAGCCTCGGTTTTAAAAGAAGGTTTTGGAAAACGAGGGTAGAGAGAGATTTTAGAAAGAGAGATTTTTGAAAGAGACGTTATATAAGCAAGCAAGAGAGAGATAACAACGGCTTAGCATATATAACCTTGGGTAGGGAGAAGTTGACAACTAGTCATATCCCCCTATAGTACATTTTGAGACATTTCATGTCTGGCAGGCCTAGACATGATATTTTTGAGGCGTCATACGCCCTAGAACTATAGAAGTAAAAACACTAGAATGAAAAGACATGACAAGGGTTTGGCTTGCCATAGGCATGCGGCCATGGGCAACACGCCCTGGACGAGCATGACCGTGACACTATGGTGGTAGCAAACATGTGACAAAATCTGGAATTTTATACACCACTAGATGTATAAATATGGTTAATGTCGCTGAAAGTGCTTCAAATTCAAGTCTATGACACAATAGACTTGGAAATATAAGCATCAAAAGAAATGTAGATGTTCGTTGCGAAAAAAAGTTTTAGAAGGCCCGAAATCTGTTTATATGGGTTATTATGAGAGCTACTTTATGAGTAAAACATAAACGAGTTAGCTTCATTAAGGCTGTCACAGAACGGAAGAGAAGTGTGGTTGGAAATGGTTCATACAGACGTTTGGAGACCATCTCTAATCCATCCCTTGGTAGATCAGAATTCTACGTCACCTAAATCTCGAGTGAGTTTAGTAACATCAATTAAATTACGATTAAATTAATAAAAATATCTTAAAATTTTTGCATTTTATTTAAAAATATTCATGAATTTTTCGAACTTAAAAAAAGTTTTAAAAATACTTTAATTTTAAATTTTTTAATTAATACTAAAAACAACTTCAAAAATACATTTTAATTTTTTTTCAAAAATTAAAAAATATTATTATAGTCTACGTGGATATTTTTAAAAACATAATACTAGTATTTTAATTTTTTTTTTTTTTTTTAGATATTAATGAATATTTTAAAATTTAAAGTGTTAAACATTTTAAAAGTTTATGAATATATATATTTTTTGAGATAAAATATAAAACGCACCGTTTTACAGAAGACCCCATCCTCACCAATCTCCCGCTAATCCACTGGAGTAACAAAACTGACCAAACTCTTAAACCCTCGCTCGCACTCTTCTCTTTCTCTCTTTCGTGGCTAAGGTCTAAGAGAGGCGCCGATGGGGAGCTGAATTCACTAACCTTGCAGTTCTGAACAAATCTCAAGTCATGTTTACGGCTTCAACTTTTTCTCAGCTTCTTTTCATTCCCAGGTTCTGTGTTTACTCCGTGCTGAATTTTCAATTTCGTTCATCTTTAAACATTTCCAAATTCCCGGAAAAGTAAATGTGATGTGTTTTAGCGTTTCTCAGATTCTTGTTTGGTTGTTTGTTAATTGACATGAACAGAAATTGAGGGGAAATTTAGAATTGCATTCTTAGCTGGGTTTGATTTGTTTGCGGAATGTTGTGGATTTGAGAATGTAAGAATGTTGAGGGAATGTTGAATTTGTGCTTAGAACTTGCTTTGTATCATCGTTGTTTGTTTGGTTAAGATGGTTTGATATGAACTTTTTTGGGACGGTGAAAAAAATTTGATATTAAGCCAATTCAAACTCGTTGTTTTTTGCTTCAAATTTCCACTATGTTTTAGTTACCAAGTTAAAAATGCTTAAGTCTTGTTTGGAATGACTTTTTAAATTCTTTGAAGTGTTTTGAAGTACGAAAAAAACGTTTTTAAGCACTTTGAATGTCAACTCGAGCACTGAAGTACTTAAAAAATGCTCAAGTCGTGTTTGGAATGACTTTTTAAGTTCTTTTAAGTGTTTTGATGTACGAATATCGACCTGAACATTGTAGTACATGAGTTCAACATTCTTAAAGTGCTTTTGAAAGGCTGTTCGTTCAAGCACTTTTGAAAGTCGTGTTTGGAATGACTTTGTAAGTTCTTGCAAGTGTTTTGAGGTATGAAAAAAATGTTTTTAAGCACTTTGAATATCGACCCGAACATTGTAGTACATGAGTTCAACATTTTTAAAGTGCTTCTGAAAGGCTGTTCGTTCAAGCATTTTTGAAAATTGTGTTCAGAATGACTTTTTAAGTTCTTTGAAGTGTTTGAGGTACAAAAAAAAAATGTTTTTAAGCACTTTGAATATCGACCCGAACACTGTAGTTCATGAGTTCAACATTCTTAGAGTGCTTTTTAAAGGCTGTTCGTTCAAGCACTTTTGACATAAACACTCTGTATGTACTTTCTTATGTTGTTCCTCTCCAACAGCCCTGTAAATCCAAACATAGCTTTGATATCAGATATACTCTTCAATGATGCAGATGCGAGTCAAGTTTGTCATTTCACTGCTACCCATACCTACGCTTAAACCAACATCAGGATCTTAAACTACACAATAAATGGGCTGTTAAAGCTATTTCTAAGAGGAAAGTTTCAGATAGCTTAGCACAAGATGGACTCAATGACCAAGAGATTGCGAAAAAGAAGAGTCCTAGAACACCTAGAAGCACCACCAAAAGAACTAGAAAGAAAGCTTCAGAAGATGCTCCGAACCTAAAGGATGAATTACTATCTTCAGTGAACGAGACTGAAGTTGAGGAAAACATTGTTAATGCATCTGTTGAAGATTCTAAGACAGCCTCGAGAATGTCTCGAAGCAAAGGTACGCTTTTATCGAAGTTTTACTCTCGATGTGTGCCATTGAGATTATTCGTTCCTTTTTATATCTTGTAAGTGCTGAACCGATAATTGAATTCATAGCTGCATCTACTTCAACTAACGTGGACGATGATAAACCTGTGACGAAAAGGCGAGGGAGGAAGCCAAAGAAGAAGGATAACAGTATGGAGCTTCAGTTAAGTGAATCTGAAGTAAGTGATGAAGAAAATTCCTCTCTCATTGTTAACGATGTTGATGAGAGTGACGAGGAATTAGATTTCGGTACTGATGAGGGAGATGATGTTAGTATCACGTACGGTTGGCCTCCTCTTGTTTGTTGCTTTGGAGCTGCACAACATGCTTTTGTGCCTTCAGGAAGGCCAGCAAACAGGCTTCTCGATTATGAAATTCATGACAGAATGAAAGATGCAATATGGACCCCGGAAAAGTTCGTTCGGGCACCTGGGGGGTCTGCAGGAAGTGTAGCAATTGCCCTTTCAAGCTTAGGTGGAAAAGTTGCTTTTATGGGAAAACTTGGGGATGATGACTATGGTCGGGCAATGTTGTATTATATGAATGTGAACAATGTCCAGACTCGATCAGTTCGAGTTGATAGTAAGCGGGCAACAGCTACATCACAGATGAAAATTGGCAAGCGGGGTCGTTTGAAAATGACTTGCATCAAACCTAGTGCAGAGGATTCGTTGTCAAAGTCAGAGATTAACATAGATGTGTTAAAGGAGGTAAAAGATACAAAATTTACCGTATTAAAAAGATTACACTAAACTGAATTCCATTCCTTTTTTCCATGAAAAACCTGTGGGCTCTGTGCATATTATATATTGAACCTTTTAATTTAGTAGCTGTGGAGCATAGTCTGCAATATTCTATCTCAGGATTCTGGTCAATATTCTGGTAGTGTTCATGTAGAATATATTCCTCTTATATGTTCGAATATATGGTTTTGGAGAACGTTAAAATTTAGTCCCTTCGGGAACTATTTATGAGTAATAAAGCATATGGACTAAATTCTAACTTTCTCCATATCGTAGGACGAATTTTTTCGTAAATTAATCAATATTACTTATTGTCTCTGGAGCTTGATTATAAACTTATATGTTCTACCTTACCTTTCACATCCTGTTTTGCAGGCTAAAATGTTTTACTTCGGTACACATTCCCTCCTGGATCAGAGTATGAGATCAACTACAATGAAAGCTATTAAAATCTCCAGAAAGTTGGGGGGAGTTATTTTTTATGACTTGAACCTTCCGTTACCGCTCTGGAACTGTCGTGATGAAACAAAAAAGTTCATTGAACGAGTCTGGAATCTTGCAGATATTATTGAGGTCACGAAGCAAGAGCTCGAGTTCCTTTGCGGGATCGAGCCATTAGAGGAATTCGACACCAGAAACAACGATAGTTCAAAATTTATCCACTATGAACCAGAAGTTATTAAGCCACTTTGGCATGAGAATCTCAAGGTCTTGTTTGTTACTAATGGTACTTCTAAAGTGCACTACTATACAGAGGAGCATGATGGTGCTATTCTTGGAATGGAGGATGCCCCAGTTACGCCTTTCACTTCTGATATGTCAGCATCAGGAGATGGTATTGTTGCAGGTAAATATTCTTATATATTTCTTTATTTTTTTTGTTTAAAAGTGAATGAGAGTAACTGTAACGATCCTAATTTTCAAAGGGAACTAGAGCTGCTACCATTTGCATGACGTAATCTTTTTATGCGGAAACTTTCATATTATACTCTTATTTTACAAATGGTATTAGAGTCATGCACTAGACGATGTACCAGTGAGGATTGTAACAGCCCAAACCCACCTCTAGCAGATATTATCCTCTTTGGGCTTTCCTTTCTGGGCTTCCCCTCAAGGTTTTAAAACGTGCTTACTAGAGAGAGGTTTCCGCACCTTTATAAAAAATGCTTCGTTCCCCTCTCTAACTGATGTGGGATTCCACAATTCACCCTCCTTCGAGGACCAGCGTTCTAGCTGGCACACTGCTTGCTATCTGGCTCTAATACCATTGTAACAGCCCAAGCTCCCCCGCTAGTAGATATTGTCATCTTTGGGCTTCCCCTCCGTCTTTAAAACGCGTATGCTAGGGAGAGGTTTCCACACTCTTATAAGGAATGTTTCGTTTCTCTCTCCAACCGATATGAGATATCACAAGGCTGTTGGGCTCCAAAGGGAGTGGATTGTGAGATCCTACATTGATTGGAGAGGGGAACAAAACATTTCTTATAAGGGTGTGGACACCTCTACCTAGCATATGCGTTTTAAAAACCTTGAGGGGAAACCCAAAGAGGACAATATTTGCTAGCGGTGGAGTTGGGCTGTTATAGTAACGACAAGCTGAATCTCGGATAATCTTATATTTATCGGTTTTTAACCCCTTGCTTGTGCATCATTGCAGCTCTAATGAGAATGTTATCAGTTCAGCCTCATTTGGTTACTGATAAGGGATACTTGGAGCACTCATTAAAGTATGCGATCAATTGTGGCGTAATCGACCAGTGGTTACTTGGCCGAACACGTGGCTATCCTCCTGAAGACGATACAGAAGAAGTGACTGCCGATGACAATGGCATACGGTCAATTACCGAAGTCGAATACCGCACGGTTGCCACTGTAAGTTAGCTTTATTGTGGCCACTGATGGATGTAGATTATTTGTTGTATGCCATAGAACAGGAGTATCTGCTTCCTTATCATCAAGCTGCTATGAGAAAATATGTCTTTTCCCACTCGACTTACCTATAATTTAGCTTTATTGCAATAGCAATCTTGTACTCTAGGCTGGGATGTTCTGTTCCCAGTGAAGAAGAGTGTTTGTAGACCAATTCTTTCAACAAAAGAGCAATTTTGTTAAACAACCTCGGGTCGGTTTCTCGTTGTGAATTATTTTTCTTCTCGAGTTGCCAATCACACTTTCAATATGATTGTTTCGTGTCGTAATGCTATTGCCACAAATCTTACGAGATGGATTTATCTAGCTTTTTAATAACTTGTGTGTTTGAATTATCCCGTATATTTTAAATTACTTAAATTTAGTTTATATACTTGCAATAAATTTTAAAATTAGTTTAGAAGTTAAATTTGATCAAATTTGGTAAAATATTACAAGTTTAATGTTTGGAGATTTTTATTTATTTATTGAATTTTTTTTTATATTTTACCAATAAATTTTTTTAAAAAAATTCTACAGATTATTGGACACAAAAATAAAAAATTTTAGAGATTATTAGACAATAACATTAAATATAAAATTATAAATTTCTAGACCTTTTATACATATTATATTATATTATATTATATTAGATATGAAGATTTAATAGTATTAAATACCATAAAATTTTAATTCTTATTTTTTATATCCGGAACTATTTATGAGTGTTTTATCGAATCATAGAGACCATTTACGAAATTTAATCAAATCATAAGGATCGAAACTTTAATTTGGTAAACTACGTGTCTAAATTTTAACTTTCTCCAAATTAAAAGACCATTTAACTAATTTTGTAATTTTACTTTGTTGGACGTCAAATTTAATTTTGATATTAGTACTAGCTGCTTCAACTTTTATTCATTTTAGTCTCCGTATTTATTATATATATATATAGTATACACTATTAAGATATTATATGACGAAAAAAACACGGTCGGCTAAAATGATAAGTACGAGTGTTCATATGACCTTGACCAATCTGAATTATCCAATCCAAATCATAAACGTTATAGTTTGAGTTAAATTTTTAAAAATCGATACAATTAGAGTTAAAAATATTTAACGCTTGTAACCAATGTCATTAATATATCATGACGTGTGAATATTTGATATTTAAATAATTAAAAAAAACCCGATGACCCAATTAAAAAATAAGAGTTGAATTAGATTGTAAGCTAGAAATTAGGGAGTTTAAACCTAAAAATAAATAAAATAAAATATTTTTTTAGCCAATTAAAAAGGAAAATAAAAGTCAACGGTCAATCCTCGTACTAACAAACTCTCCACCATTATTGGAGAAAACTGTTTTAAACCCAAAAATAGTCCAAATTTCACCCTATAAATATCTTCTCCCCATCCTCTTCTTCCTCACCCCTTCATTCAATTACTACTTACCAATAAAACCCAAATAAATAAATAAAAAGGGAAATTTCCCTCTTGTTCTTCAGCAACAGGCCTTTCTCTAAACTCACTTTTACCCCCCTTTTCATCATGGAAATGAAGAACTTCGCCTTTGCTGCCATCGTCGCCGTCGCCGCCTCCCTGACCATGGCTTTGGCCTCCACTGAAGTTGCAGCCCCGGCACCCGGCCCCTCCAGCGCTGCTGCTGCTGCTACCGTGCCTGTCGTCGGCACGTTGCTAGGTGCCTCTGTTGCCTCTCTTATTGCCTTCTGCCTTCAGTAACTGAGCTTGGCAGCTTGAGGAAGGGGGAGAATAAATCAATGTGGGGTGATTCTTGTGATTCTTGTTCTTTTTTTTCTTTTTTTTTTGTAAGTTTTTTATTCGTTTCTTCATACACATTGTGTAATAAATTGATCCCTTTCAATGAAATGAATTGTTTCAACATCAAATGGTTAATCAATCAATCAAACAAACGCGTATTGAAAACTCGTTAGGATACTAAGGTCCGTTGTTTGATTTCTGCGATGATATCAGACTCTTTGTTAACCAGATTGCTGTTTCTCTCGACGATACCGCTTCTTCTCCGAATGGACTCAGCACGCCAGCGAGTTCTTCGAGCTTGTCTTGCTTGAGTAACCGTGCACATAGCTCGAGTAGAGACTCGAGAGCATCGGCTCTTCTCTGGCTTGGATATTCGGATTCCAACGACATACAATCTGCATGTGTTTCTTCTGTTTGTGCACTATGAGCAACTTCTTGATGCCCTTTGAAGGAACTTCTCGGTTCGACATTGAAGCGTTTATCATCAGAAGATCCAGACTTTTCACGTACGGAGGATATCGATGATTCCATTGAGTTCGCTTCACTAGTTTCCTCAGCCTTCATTCCCGGTCTGTTGCAACTTGTTTTTGGTACTTCTTGGTTTACCGTCTCCAATCGAAGTTCTTTCTGCAAAGAATTTGTACGCCGGATGCTGTTTCCACCATTGCAAGTCGATGTCACAGACGCAGAACTCGTTTGCACATCACTATCAACAGCATTTGATGTGGATATTTCATCAGGAAAGGATGTAGGATCGACCATCTTCGTCTCGAGTATGTCTTCCGAAATAGCTGTTAACGACATATTTTCATCGGTTGACGAGTTGCTATTATGTATGTCAGCACTTCTGGCCACCAGATCGATATTTTCCAGCAGGTTGAAAACTACGCTCGGTTTGGCTCGGCTCTCATGCCCACTATTCAACTTGTTAGATGGCGATTTTTGCGGTGTTTTATTCTTCGAGTCGGGACATATTGGTAGTATATTAGCCGAAGCGTTGCGGCATTGAAGGACATACGGTTGGATATGTGGATGCCTCAATAATTCAGCAGCCTAATTATAAATTAAGCCATAGATTAGAAGCAAAATGATCATTCAAAGAGTCGAAATCGCATCACTCACCGTCGGTCTGTGTCCGGGATTCTTCCGTAGCATGCTCTTGATGATCTGTTTCCTGCAAGCGGAAACGAAGAACAGTCTCGAGTCTTAAAATAGCTGAAAATACACTGTTTTTAGCTGAAAAATCAATAGAAATAGCTTACAACGCAGAGGAATAAACAATTGGGAGAGGAGAAATGGAGGATCTGTTAATTTTATTGATAAGACCAGCCATGTCCTGTTGAATTAAGCATAAATCAATCAGGAGTCGAGCAAAACGGATGAAATTCACGAGACCGAAGCTTAAGCTTACCGGAGCTCGAAACGCAGGTTGATGTGCAGAAATTTCAAACATACAGCAACCTGAAAAAAACACGGTTTATTACTATACAAGAACACGGATATCAACCAAGAATCGTGTCTCCATGAACGCTTACCAAGTGACCATATATCGGACTTGTAGCCATAAGGTATATCTGTGAGGAGCTCGGGGCACATATAATTAGGAGTACCAACAACCTACAGAACATATATTAGCAGAGTACAATCAAACTATTATTCCGGAACTATTACATAGGCTTGGGCTTTTACAAATGGTACGGGGTGGATTGTGAGATCCTACATCGATTGGAGACGGAAATGAGTGCCAGCAAGGACGCTGGGCCCCAAAGGGGAGTGGGATTGTGACATCTCATATCAATTGGGAAGGAGAACGATATATTCTTTATAAGGGTGTGGAAACCTCCCCTAGCTGACGCGTTCCCTCAAAGGAAAGCCCCAAGAGAACAATATCTGCCAGCAGTGTGCTTGGGCCGTTACATTAATAATAGCTTCCTCCATTCTGCTTGCTCCTCCCTTAGGAGATACGTTCCCTTCAAGAGAAAGTCCAAAGAGAACAATATCTGTCAGCGGTGGGCTTGGGCTGTGAAACCACGACCCTCCACAATGATGATATTGTCCACTTTGAACATAAGCTTTACTTTTGATGTATTCCTTACTTATAAATTCATGATCATCCTCTTAATTAGCCGATGTGGGACTCCCCCTCAACAATCCTCCCCTCGAACAAAGTACACTATAGAGCCTCCTCCCCCTCAACAATCCTCCCCTCGAACAAAATACACTATAGAGCCTCCTCCCCCTCAACAATCCTCCCCTCGAACAAAGTACACTATAGAGCCTCCCCTGAGACCTATAAAACCCTCAAACAACCTTCCCTTAATCGAGGCTCGACCCCTTCTCTAGAGCCCTCGAACAAAGTACACTATAGAGCCTCCTCCCCCTCAACAATCCTCCCCTCGAACAAAGTACACTATAGAGCCTCCCCTGAGACCTATAAAACCCTCAAATAACCTTCCCTTAATCGAGGCTCGACCCCTTCTCTAGAGCCCTCGAACAAAGTACACCATTTGTTCGACACTTACTCACCTTTAACCATACCTTTGAGGCCCAACAACTTATTTGTTCGACACTTGAGAATTTGATTGGCATGACTAAGTTATGGGCATGACTCCGATACCATATTAGGAATCACGATCCTTCATAAATGTATGATATTTGTCCACTTCGAGCATAAACTCTCAACCCATGATCATCCTCTTAATTAGCCAACGTACAACTCAATAAGTTAAACATTCTAAGTCCTTTGTCGGACCAGATTTTAACAGCATAAAAGATAAGTTTGTTGATTAAAACGCTTTCTATCGCAAAATAACTACAGACGATGATCGAATCCTTACAGATGAAGCAAGATCTTCCGTATTCAGTAGTTTTGCAAGTCCAAAGTCCCCTATACATGCCACCCATTCAAGATATTAGCACTTTTCAAGAAGAAATTAGCTATCAAAAAACATGCCACTCTATACAAATTGGAAGCCATCATACCAAGCCTGATATCATTGCCCTTTGTAAGGAAAATGTTGGAACACTGAAATGAAGAACAAAAGATCAGAATCATTAATGAGATTTTTGTAGGTTAATAATACGGAATAGATACCTTAAGATCTCTATGTAGCACCCGATTCGAGTGCAGGTAGTCCACAGCTAGTAACAACTGCGCCAACCACTTGCAAAGTTTCTAAGGAAAAAAGAATTGGTCATCGGGCATAGATTCGGTAGAGAAAGAATAGTTGAGAACGTAATCGACTTACTTCCTCGGGAAAGTATGTTCCTTTGGCCTTTTTGATCAGTTCGGACCTGCTCAACAAAAGAAAATGGGGCATACCATTAGTCTAGAGTTTTCTTCTCATTCCTTTATCCATTCAATGTTAAGTAATAAGATTAATGTTGATTTTTTGTCATCGAAGAATTTTAATTTATGATGTTGGG